AGCGCTGGTGGCGTGTGGGAAGTGCATTTCAGTGGGGTCTGATTGTTTAGTGARCATGTTTGACATGCTGCTAGAAACCTTGGCTTCTCCCCAGCTCTCCTGGTTCTGATGGAAGTGACAGCTCCGAGGAGGTGAGATCTGAGTGGGATTTCTGCCCYAGGGGTGACTGTGGGGCTGGCAGCTATTTACAGTCCTGTCCACTGGTGGGCTCTCACTGTGAGATTTCAGCTCTGCTTTTGGCAGGWTTTCCACCCCGACACCTAAAGCCACATTCTGCACCCACAGGYACCAATCTTGGACAAACAGAGTTTTCAAGCTGTTGCTTCTACTTGCTGTACGATTTTATAGGGCATTGCTGTGACGCTGCTTGCTGCCCATGTGGGAATTGTGGGGGYAGTGGTGTCTCTCAGTTTGTATCAYGCACCTTAATGGTCCTGAACACTGCTTTGTTTGGGAAATGATTCCTTTAAYGAGCAGAAGGGAAGGTGGTGCTGGAGCTGCCTTTGGAAGCAGCTTTCCATCATGTTGTTCCACCCCTAAAAGCAGCTTTAGGTGTAAACAGCWATCAGGTGCCACAAGGCTCTCAGCTTGTTTACTGTGGCTCTGAGGGGGAATAATGAGGATTGAACATTTCCTACTGGGRYGAGCCAGAGTCCTKCAAAAACCTYTGGAACGAGGAAAAGTTACTGAATRAATTCTGCTGCTGCTGGGATTTCAGTCCTGCTGTCACCCGAGTGAACAAGATACCTGGCAATGGGAGCCTCTCACATTCCCAATCTGAAGGGGTTTTCCATCTTGGACTTTTCTCAGTATTTTCTGTGAAATTGTGTTATTCCTGTACGTGGCTTCCAATTTTTAGGAGCTGACATCTCCAAAATTGCTGAGCAGCTCAGTGACTGGGAGCCAAAGTGGTTGTTTTGGTGTTCTCCTGCACGGGGTGTTCACRGGAGGATGGTGGTGACAAAGATAAATCACCTCAGTGGCATGAGTGGAGCTGTTTTTTGAAATACCCATGCTTTGGATGTGGACTCACAGAGGGTGATGGCAGTACTTGGTTAAACTAAAAAATCCTTCAGGGTTTGAATGGTCCCTTGGGTTTGCAGCCTCCTGTAAATCTCTAGTACTGGTTTTCCTTTGTTTTTCTTTATGTTTGTGTTTTGGTTCAAGGTTTGTTATGATGGTACCTGCTCCTCCTGGCCTTTGCTTGCAGTGAAATCACAGTAATTACTACTGCTAGGAAAATAATTTCTGCTTCCCTTGGCTACAACAATCTCAAAAGGATGTAATTTGCTGTATTTCCTACTGAGAATGAAATTCCTGGGGTCAGGGAGAAGACAAACTTGTGCTTCAGGAGGAGTGTAATATTGTAATATTTAGTTTTACTCTAAATGAAATCTTGGAAACCATCCAGGGCTGAGAGGAGAAGTCTTGGGAATGCTGCCTGACATTTATCTCATCACTGATACAACTTAGATATYGAAATGGAATCTGTGCTGTTCCAAATACTGAAGCACAGAAAATATTCTGTATATTGTGGGAGGTTTTTTTCCCCTGTAAGGTCTACCTTGAAATAAATAATTCAAGACACTGCCAGAAGCCTTTTCACCTTTCTCCATGTCTCAGCAAGGCCGGTATCATTTCTTTTGTCTGGGTCAAGAGGAAAAAAAYGAACCCAGAGCCCAGCACATGCTTCCCATGTAAGCAGAAACATTAAATATCGACCCTCAGTGCTGCCTTCTGAAGAATGCTCGAGGAAAATCGAATGCWTTATTTCAGACTACAAGCACAGGTTCCTCCAGTGCTCTGTTCATTCAGCCCTGCTCATCCATTCCTCATTCCCTTAGCAAAGCTGGCTGGCTCTGGACATCTCTTTGGACTTTACTGCAGGAAGTCTTAGCCTTGAAAATGCAGATTTAGCAGTTGTGGGATTTCTCRGCTTTTCTGGGAATCCTGAACATAGAGAAGGGGTGGTGGGGCCCTCTTTGGTGCTGGGCTGGAGATCACCCTCACCTCACCTTACTGAAATTGCATCTTGAATTGTAGTGAGAGCAGAATTGCTGCTTTGGGGTGATTGGGGCTGCTCCCAGTGACACCGGGATGCTCTGAGCACCTGGAGCCTGTTCCCTGCTGGAAGTGTTTGTTACTCCCGTCGGGAGGAAAGGCAGCAAATGAAGCCATTAACAATGCAGCGTCTCCTGTGTTTGAAAACTCCAAARCACGGGCAATTACCTGAGCATCTCTCGCAGCTGTGAGGTGTGTGTGTGTTCTGCCAGATGGGATTTGGTGCCTGAGGAGTGTGGGAAGGTGTCATTTCAACACAGGGTTCATTAATTTCCTCATTACTCCTGGGGGTGTGGGGTGAGCGCATCTCATGGGATTTGTGTTGAGAGAGCTGCTGTGAGCTCGCTGTGTGTGTTCAAGAGCTGTGATTGTGTCTGGGATCTGGGCAGCTCCCAAGGGCCAGGCAGGCTGTCAAAGGGGAGCAGGGGAGCCCAGGAGACTCAGGAATTACCCCTGGGGCTGCTCAGGGCCAGGAAAGCTCTGGGGGCACCTTGGAGCCCCTTCAGGGGGGTTTGCATCARAGAGGGAGCTCTTCATGGGCAGGCAGTGATAGGACAAAGGGGAACGGGTTCACACTAAAAGAGGAGAGATTGAGATGGGATATTGGGCAGGAATTGTTCCCTGGGAGGGTGGGCAGCCCTGGCACAGGGTGCCCAGAGCAGCTGTGGCTGCCCCTGGATCCCTGGCAGTGTCCAAGGCCAGGCTGGACATTGGGGCTGGAGCAGCCTGGGACAGTGGGAGGTGTCCCTGCCATGGCAGGGGTGGCACTGGATGGGCTTTGAGGTCCCTTCCACCCCAAACCCATCTGTGATTCTGTGAATTCATGAAGCTGGATTTGATGGCTGAATTTAGCCCCATTCCAATGCTCTTCTCCCCTCTGCCCTCGTTCCCCTGGCTGGTGGCAGGAGCTGTGTGGGACATGGGCTGTCAGGGGCACTGGGGCAGGGGGCAGTGCAGACTCTCCTGAAGTTTTCTSCATCTTTACATCTTTAAATATTTGGAATAAGCTGAAGTAAGGCATCTGGAAATGAATCCGTTTGACGTCAGATCCTGTCTTCATTAACAAGAACAGACAAAGTATGTTCTTTTAAATTGCTGCTGAGGAGCTCATGTGGGTGTGGATTTGGGGGCCTGGTTTCCATTCCGTGTTGGTTTATGAAATCTTTTCCATGTGCAGTGAAATGAGAGGATTCTCTATGTGGCACCCTGAGCTCCACAGGGTCAGCTGCAGCCACATGAAAATGGCTGTTCTTCCTTGGATCCAGGCAGTGATGATTCCTCATCCCCTCAGTGACAATTGTGACCATTTCAGAACAGGTTTTGAAGCACAGTGGAGCTCCACAGCCACCCCTGGGAGCTCTCAGTGTTCCAGGCTGGGTTTGAGCCCCATGTTCTGCTTTCCAGGCAGGGCTTGGGTCACTTTGCTCTGGGCAGCAGAATTTTCCACTGTGCTGATTCCTCTCCTGCTTTCAAATATTCCAGCCTGTTTTCTGTCCCAAAAACTCCTTGGAGCTGTCCCTGGCCACCTTCCTGTGACCTCCACCCTTCCCACTGCTGAGCATCCCCTGCAACAACAGCCTGAGAACATTTTTCCTCCTTTTCTCTTAGTCTGTGCTTTTAAGTCATCCAGACCTCTCTGAGCTTGAAGAAAATTAAGATAATAGAACATGCAGTGAAGGAAGGGAGGGAAGAAAACAATCAATTTTTGGTACCTGATCCCAYTGTAATTCTGAAAATTAGGTTTTAGTACAGTTTGCTTTCTGGCATTGGATTTATGACACTTTCAGTGGTCACAGCTTTTTCTGCTGCCWGGAGCATAATGTGTGAGTTGTCATTGGAGATGGAAGTTGTTCTGCTGAGAAATTCTTCTTTTTAAATGTATTTATCTGTTTTTTAAACTAAGGAAGATTCTTTAGTTCCTAAAGAACTGCCCTGCTCTTTGAGAAGGCAAGTTTGATGCAGTCCSTGTAGTGCCAGAGTTTGCAGGTTCACCTTGGTCACTGTTTTACTTAAAGGGTGGCATGGAAAGSGGGTTCTGAGCTTTGCTTTGCTCTGGAATCTCCTGCTTTGCTTTGTGTGCTTGATTCCTGGCTTGRCAGAGCCTCCTGACGGATCCAGAATTTCTGTGCTGGATTGGTGGGAGTGAGGGAGGAAAGGATTTGGCAAATGGTTGTCTGTTTTCTGCTGGATTTTTGTTTGTTCATGAAAACTTAATATTGTGTTCCCATTTCCCCTTGGAAATGAAGTCCTTTTCAGTGTGAATGATCCTGAATTATGTTTCTTTGCTTAAAACATATTGGGGAAAGAGGAGAGGCTTTGTTCCAAGTTGGATTGAAATTATCTCACTTAAAGGAAAACTCCCCTTCCGGAGCTTCTATAACTTACAATATCTTATCCCTCCTTTTTGCACATTTATAAAATTCAGACAGGCTCGAGGCTTTAAATATTTCAAATTACYTCARTTTSCCAACCTTTGCTCTTTCTGAGTGGYGCCTGATAAGGCTGGGCATTGGGTTCTGGACCTGTTTGCCTTTTCAGCTAAAGAGTGAAGAGAAGATGAAGAAGAAAAAAGAAAAAGCTTGTTTGGGGTTTCTTTTCCAGAGGCTCACCTGCCTCTGGAATAGTGTCAGTGATGCTTTTCACTCACAAGGATGGCACAGAAGTCTCTGKGCATGTTGGCAGAAGAACTTTATTGAGGGTTCATGTGTTTTAATACTGCAATTCTTGCCTTCAGCTGTTAACTGGTTTCCAACAGATCTCCTCGAAGCTTAAGTAGGTGTTGTTTCTTYTCTAAATGTCTCATTAGCAGAAAAAGTACAGCAAGCCCTAGAGAAACTTCTTGAAGTACAGAGGGAGGGAATGCTTGGAAGGTGCRTGATTTTGTGAGTGATAAATGCTGGAAAGAACTGTGTCCTAAGTGTTTGTTCATTTCTTTACAGGTCTGAAGGTGACAGCTCAAGAAGCCTCAGGTATGTGTCCATCATCTTGATGTCTTTGTTCTAAGAAAATACTTTATTTAAAAGCATCAAATAGAAATAGAAATAGATTTATTTTTTTAAATGTTGGCATTATTGGATGTGCTTAGCATGCCATCAGTGTTTGGAGTAAAAGATCTGCCTTGGATAAAGTTACTGAATGAGTCTCTCTCAGGTGTGGTTTGAGGGTGATGGATTTGTTTGGATCATTACAAAAGATTTATAGTTTGTTCTTGGTGCTCCCAATCAGAGTTCCTGTTCAACACCCTGTGAGCCCGTTCTGGGGTAGCACTGCTGCTGGGGGCAGTCCAGGGATGTGTTCTGGCTTTCTTGGCATCTCCTGTTCCACTTGAAGGGAAAGCATTCCCTGACTCGTGATTGCAGTGCTCTCTATGCACTTGGAAGGGTCACAATGTGCAGAAATTCCTGTCATTATCACATCCTTCAYTTCCAGCTTGGTGTTTCCTACTCCTTACCTCCAGGGTGGTTTTTATTCCTCCCTCTCTGTGAACTGAGTCAAACCTGCAGAGCTGGTGAAAGTGCTCTCAACAGGACCGAGGTGTTGAAATCCCCCCCTTGAATCCCAAAGTGTTCCATGTTCCTTAGCCCGTGGCCATTGAGCAGGTGCYTCGATTCTCAGTGTGATTATTGATCAGGGATAATGAGGTTCAGAATATTGWCTGGGGCTCCACCAGAATTTCCYGCACTTTGCTTTGGGGACTGGCAGRGCTTTGCATCCAAAGGCACTGTATTTATTGTGTATTTATTTGCATTGTATTTATTCTGTGTAAAACCCCAAAACAACAGCAGGACCTTCCCTTGCAGAGGTAAAACCCCGTTCTCACCCACAGGGGTGCAGACCATCCCCAACAAAAGCTGAGCTGCAGCCCAGTCACATCTCAGACAGCCAGGACTCTGTAGGAAGGGGTTAAAGACCCTCTGAAATGCTTTGTTCTTGTGGCAGAATTGGAGATCGCTGTGGTGTGGGCCCGAGGCCGTGCAGGGATTGTGTTTAATGCACAGCAGSGAGCTGGATCAAACCCCAAGGCTGCAGTAGATTGCTGTGGCCATCACTACACTTATTCCCTGGGGTTTTAGCTGCCAGCTGGTCAGCTGCTGCCAACTGAAAATGATGCCCTGGATTTCCAGCARTGTGGCCATGTTACAGACCACTCTCGTGTGTCTCTGAGCCCCCTGTGGGGTCTGGCTGCTCCTGTGGATGTGTGTGTGGGGCATCACTGGGTACAGCAGCTGGTSAAAGTGGAGCTCTTCTCCTTGAGAGCCTGTTTGGGGGGTTGAGCTGGTGTTGAGGCACAGCTGGAATCACATCTGGTTTGGTGCTGCCTGGAGCCTGACTGTGGTGGGATCCTGCCAGGCACGGCCATGGGCTGGGATATCCTGSTCAGTGGGTGCTGCTGGGCTGGCAGGATGGCCAGGGATGGAAYGGGTCTGGCCAGGTCAGTGCCCACCCTGCAGGGAGGGTCTGCTYGGGCTCGGTGCCCTGTGGAGCCTGGCAGTGCCACATGGGGCACATCCCACCTTGTGGGGGTGGAAGCCAACCCCACTGACCCTACAGAAACCCCTGGGCAGTCAGGGTGAGCCCTGGGGTGCTGACACCACGCTGGGGTATGAGAGGGTCCATTCTGTCCCTCAGGGTGAGCCCTGGGCTGCTCCAGGACATCTCCATCCTTGCTGACATCCCAGTTTTACCCAGGCTGGTGCAGCAGAAGGCAGAGCCATGCTCCTGAAATGCTTTTCCTGTGCAACTCCTCTCTCCTCCCTTTACCCTGCATTTCCCCGAGCTGAGGTGTCACTGAGGATGTGCTTTCGTGGTTCTGCTGCACAACATCCCTGTGCACAGCTTTGGTCCTGTCACAGGCAAAAGCTCCCTTGGCTCTGTCAGGTCTGGGCAGTGCCTTTGTGTTGAGCTCATTTTGCCTCCTCCTGTTTTCCTTTGTCTCTGCAAATGGAGATGAGGTGTAATTATCTCRAATGGGATGATCAGGGCAGCCTGGGAATGGTGTTCAAATCTCAGAGGAGATCTGTTCTGCTCGCAGAGACCTTGGCAGAGCAGCAGCAGATCCAAATCGTGATCCAACCTGCCCAATGGTTCTGTGCAGCTCCAGGGCTGTGAGGAGCCACCAGCAGTGGGATGGATGTCCTGTCCCAGTGCTGACTGGGCAGTGACCATGTGGGGTGGATCAGAAGGGTTTGGGTTTGGGSTCAATAAACCAAAGTGTTGGTTGGGATTGATTGACAGCCATTAAAGATAAAAGGATAACCCCAATAAATGGAGGCTCTGCCATTCCCTGTTCCCCCATCCTTGGGAAGCTGGCTGGGGGTCACAGGGGTGACAGCCTGGCTGGGTCACACCATGTCTGTGTCCCAGGGCAGTCAAAGCCTGGTCAGCCAGCAGGGAGCTGTTCCTTGGTGCTCAGGAACAGCAGTGAACCTTTGTGGAGGAGTTGAGAGCAGAGGGAGGAGCAGCTCCGGCTCCTGGCAGAGCTGTGGTGGCACTGAGGGCACTGACCCACGAGGGTTCCTCCCTCCCCCTGTCTAACACCACTGCCATCCTCCTGGAACCTCCTAACTCCCCCAGAAGGGTCATCAGAGAAGGTTTCTCTGAGCTGTAAATAGGAAAAACAGGATTGGAAAGGACAGGAAAATACATATATTTGTGGTGGGTGGGTTTTT